TATAAACTATATTAGATTGCTTACTGTGAGGGGAAAAGAAGGAGGGAGGGAAGGATAGAATGTTGAACTCAAAACTTTTTTAAAATGTTAAAAAATGTTTTAACATGTAATTGGGGAAATAAAAATGTTACATATTAACATATTGGGGAAAAATAAAAGTATTATGATATCAGCTAAAAAAAGAAATCACGAACCTTTTGAATTTGTTTTTTTTGTTTTGAGTGGGGTGGGAGGTGAGGGAATTGGGGTTAAGTGATTTGCCAAAGGTCACACAGCTAGTAAGTGTCAAGTGTCTGAGGCTGGTTGAATTGTAGTGGGGAAAGACTTGTGATGGGTAGACCAACCAGGAGGCAATTGAAATAGTCTAGGCATGAGGTGGTTGGGACCCACAGCAAGTTGGCAGCAGTATCTGAAGACATAAGGGGGCTGATGCAAGAGGTATTATATTGACAGACCCTGGTCACTGTTTGGAAATGGGAGGTAAGAATGAACAATAAAGGATGACAACCAGGTTGTCCACCTGGGGCTGGAATAATTGTGGTGGTCCAGACAGCAATAGGGCAGTTTTAAAGAGGGCAAGGTTTGGGTGGAAATACAATGTCCCCAGAAAGACAATGTAATTTAAAAATGTGTCCTAGAACAGAAGAAGGAAAGGAGAGTCCTGGTGGATAGATACGAACGAAGTCTTCCATTTAAGTCTTTTTTCAGTAGTGCATTGGCACAGAGTTGCTGATTTGATTGACTGATTGTCAATCTTGGGTGCTAACTTTGAGTAAAGAATCTAAGGAAATGAAATAGAGAACAGATAAGTTTCAGTGGTGGTATTGGGTGCTGGTGGTGAAATACATGGCAGGGATATGCCCTTGATAGCAGAGGGCCAGTCAAGTACTTGGCTAGAAAGACAGGTCCTGGGTGGTTGCCAAAAAGGAAGAAAGGGCTTTTAAGACAAACATCACCTGCTTTAGCTCCACAATTGTCTTTTAGGATCCCCCAGCTAGTAAGATCCTCCAGATGACTGTTATTTAACAAAAGGTATATAGCATTCATTTGGGGAATAATTAAAAGCAGCTCTATTCTTACCACTAATTTTTGATGAGGTGTGTGTGTGTGTGTGTGTTTAAAGATGACAAGCAAAAATGGACATTAATCCAAATAGTTCATGGGACTTTGATCTTGCTACAGTGATCTTTAGATCGGGTTAAAAATCTTTGAGAACTATTCTAAGGTGACCAATAAACTCCTTTATACAAAGTCCACCTATCTATCAGGGCTCTATTAGCTCTATCAGGGCAATAGAAATATACATTACTAATATTTTGTCCAGCTCTCCTCCCTCCCAACCCCATCACCAGCAACAACCACAATGTAGCCCATATAAACAGTAAGAAAAGACTATTCCCTCTCTTATTCTTTCAAGCAGTGCTATGGATTGGCTGATTTGTCACTCAGCATCAGCTTTCCTCCCTCTTCCACCTCTCCCTTTTCTTTCCTTTCCCTTTCCTTTTCTTCCTTTCTCTCCCTCCCTTCCCCTCCATTAACTTTTCCTTCCCTGTCTTCTTCTCCCCTCCTCTTCCCTTCCTTTCCCTTTCCTTCCCTTCCCTCCACTGATCCACAGTAATCCTGTGAATCAAGCAAGGTATAAAGCAGCCTCTTAGCAATTCCTGTGAATAGTTGTACTTTATACTTTAGGTTTATTACCTCAATTGATTGTTACAACAACCCTGTGAAGCAGGTACAATTAATCTTATTATTCTTATTTTATGGATAAGGAAATGAAGGTTCAGAGAAATTCAGTGACTTGCCCAGTCATAGCTAGGAGGTGTAGTAGGAGAATTTCACACATGCTTCAGCTCTCAAGTATGCGCCCGCGCGCGCGCACACACACACACACACACACACACACACACACACACACACACACACACACACACACACACACACACACACTGGTCTGTCTCCCTTGCCTCTAAATCCAGCACTCTTTGCATTACATCACAATAAAAGATGTCTAGATTCAATCATGGCTAAGTCTAACTGTAATACACTTCTAGAAATGCTCATCTTAATTTGCTGCTGTTCATTTGGCAGCGACTCCAATCTCTTTAGCTGGGAATATTTTTACTGACACTTCCCTATAAACACTTATTTTAATGATCCCCTTTGTGAGGAGCAAGGTATTTTGTAAAGGGAATACAAAGCTCTTTACATAGAGAAGCTCAATTTGATTCTTACAACAAACCTATGAGGTGTTGTGTAATGAGTGCAAGTGTTCATCTTCCCATTTTACAGATAAGAAAGCTGAGGCCTGGAACAGTTAAATGATTTGCCAAAGATTGCACAGCTATTGAGTCACTGAATGAGGTCTGGAGCTCTTGTTTTCCACTACTACTACTGCTACTACTACTACTACTACTACTGCTACTACTACTACTACTACTACTACTACTGCTGCTGCTGCTGCTGCTGCTGCTGCTGCTGCTGCTGCTGCTGCTGCTGCTACTACTACTGCTACTGCTACTGCTACTCCACCCATTTCTATAGCCCTTTCAAATCACCTTCACAACAATCCCAAAAGAAAGCTGTGTAGTCCCTATTACCTGGGGAGCTTTGGAAAGGTCAGTTCCCCCTCTCTGAGCCTTAGTTTCCTCCTTTGTAAAATGAGGAGGTAGGGCTAAATGAGCTCTGAGTCCCAAAGAATCCTTGGGTAAAAGCCCTGCTCACAGAGTTAAGAAGGGAGCCCAGATTCCAAAGCTGTTCAAAGGAATTGGAGGGGGTATGGGGGACTGGAGTAGAAAAATGACAGCTTGCATTTATATGTGCTTTATATTTGGAAAAGCTTTCCTTAAAGCTTTCTTCTTATAACAACTTTGTGAGCGATATGATACTAGGATTAATCCCCTCATTTTACAGATAAGAAAACTGAAACTTATATTCAAATTACTTGCAGAAAGTCATAGAATAGTCCTATTGAGGTCACTTGACTCCAAGGCCAATCCTCTTATCACCACATCCTGCTGCTCTCAGATACATTATCTATGGACACAAAAAATAACACATTTTAACCTAGTGATTCCTTTTTTGGATTTGGGGGTGGCAGGAAATCAATCCAATTGACAATTCAGTGTAAACTGGTATCAGTCACATTAGATCTCAGAACTGCTTTCCATTAATGACTCGCCCAAGAGCCTGGAGCAGCCCTAAGAAACCATCTAGTTCACTTCAATTTCAAAGTCAATGCCTAAGAGTCCTTCCCTGAGCTGGATCAAGAGATAAGGTGGTGAGACCATTTTCCATAGGCTGTCTTCCAGGTTAGGGAGGTTTATTTCTGGCTGCCTTTTTTAGCTGTGGAACTCCTCAGTTAAAGAGGGAAGTAAACAGTCTAAATTTCCTTGGTCAAGCCTGACACGGAATCTCTACTTAATGAATTCCTGCGGTGTCATTGGTTGGGGTATATGAAGCTAGTCTGCTTTGAGGGTCACTGTATGAACATATATCTGTATACACACATATATACACATATGTGTATATCATATATGTATATATGCATATATGTGTGTGGATATATATGTATATATGCATATGTATATTTCTATTTATTTATCTATCTATCTATGGTTGGATTTGGATCTGGAAGCTCAAGGTGTACATTTTATAGGAGGGACAAATCTGAAATCCAGAGACATTTGCCTGAGGTCACACAGGTGGTGGAGGAGGGAGGTGTTTGTTTCAAATTGAAGTTTGTAGTATGCATTTATGCTTCTAAGAACTCACTCACCACCTTTAGAGCTGTGAAAGGTGACTTTTATCTTGAGAGGTTGAATGACTTTGGGGCTCAGAGATCACTAACTCCCTCATTTTGCAGAGGGGAGGCCCAGGGAGCCTGAAGTGACTTTTCTGAGGTCACACAATTAGTGTGTGCCCAGATTATTTAAAAATCAGGTTTCGTATTTCGATTCCTATTCCTCCGCTCTCCCCATGCATTAGGGCAAATTATAAGACCTTTTAAGGACTCACGGGAACAGGGGTGGAAGAGGATTTACTAGCTGCCCCTAAAAGTTTCCTTCTCGGTTCCCCTGCCCCTAATTCTTTCGAGCAGCTTTGGGGTCTGGGTTCACTTCTTAACTCTGTGAACAGGACTTTCACCCAAGGACTCTTTGGGACTCAGAACTCATTTAGTCCTACCTCCTCATTTTACAAAGGAGGAAACTGAGGCTCAGAGAGGTTCATCAGGTAGTGGGGGGCTGCTCAGCTTAAAAAAAATCATACGGGCCTTTTAACTGATGTATTTTATTTATATGTAAATAACATTTACATTTTTTAATTTATAAAAATAAATACCCTCTTCCTACTCCCCCTGCCCCCTGCCTCTCTTTCTGGGAACAACTCAACTAAGCATCCCCTCAGAAAGGCTCAGATGACGGCTTATTTCCAGTCGCCGGGTTAATGCCAGTGTGGCGTCGGGTCGCCAGTGGGGGCGGTTCCGTGACCTGCTCGGGTTCTACTTTTCCTCCTGGCAGTGTCAGTTTAGGGTCTGAGGGCTCTGACCTCCGGGAAATTCCCGCCTCCGCCTCCGCTCGGGCCCAGATGACTCGAGTCACTTTCGGCCGTAGCATCCCACCCCTCAAAGCCGCTGCGGCCACCCGGGACCCCGCCGCCCCCGGCTCGTCCGGGTCTCCGGAGCCGCCCACGGCTGCGGCCCCTCAGTCCTCACGCGGCTCGGGCCCCCGGAGTCCTGGATGGGGAACGGGGAACCCTCGTTAGGAGGGGGAAGCCCCCGCAGCCACCTCCACGGTCACAGTCACGGACACTGCCACCTCCTAGACTGGACCGGTTTCTCGGAAAAGCAGAGCTTAGAAGAAGGGTCTCCGCATGGCGGACACCCATTGGTCCAGTCCTCCCCTTCCGTCGCCAGCCATTGGTCTGAGCCGCTGTCAGTCCGGTCAGGGGGTGGGATGGTCGGGACACTCCCCGAGCTCATATACAGCCCCGCCCGGGGCTACTGTCACCCTCCGGGCCCCTGGACTACCCAATTACTCGCTAGCTCCTGACAATCGCAGCGGGTAAAGCTGCTCCAGGCTAGGACCTTTTTCTGACGACTTCTGGCTAACAGGTAGGGACTCTCCCCTCCCCCTTTTTTCTGAAGGCTTTCCAAGGAAAAGAATTGACAATGGGTCCCTATCTAGCACAACTCGGTCTAGTGCCCCCCAATATAATGGGAAGAATAAATGACTATATACATATATATTATTTATATGTAGTGTCATTACGTTTGGAGACAGAGGACCTGGGTACCAATCTTAGCCCTTCTGTTATTGCCAACTTATTCCTCAAGTGTAGAATGAAGAGATTGGTCTGAAGGCTCTCTCTAAATGTCCTGTCTAGCTTTATTATCCTATATTAGCCTATGATCTGAGGCTCCACTGAGAGAGGCCAAACGTCCAGAAAGAGGAAGGGTATAGTCCTGCTGTCCTTTGGCCCGGTTAGACATCGAAAATAACTGTGTTCAGTTCTAGATGTCACATTTTGGGGGGGGCATTGACAAGTTGGGACCCTCCAGAGAAGGGCAACCAGAGGATATTGATGAACCTCAGTATTAGGGCAGGTGAGGTCTGCGGGAAAAGATTGGGAATATTTAGCCAGGAGAAGAGAGAACATGGGGGTGGTGAACATAATAGTTGTCTTCCTATATTTAAAAGACTTTATGAGAAAGAGGATTTAGATTTGTTTTGCTTGGTGAGGGTTGAGAGGGTGGGGTTGGAGGCAGAAAGGAGCAAAGACTGGAAAATTATGAAGAGGCTAATTTAGGCTTCCCATGAGAAAAAGGTTTCCAACAATTAGTACATCTATTCAAGAGTGGAATGGGCGACCTTGAGAAGTAGTGGGTTTTCCTCACTTCTGCATCTTCAAACTAAGACTGGATGACCACTTGTTGGGATACTGTAGTGGAGATTCTCATTCAGGTATAGTCTGGGGTCTCTCAGCTCTGAGATTCTGGGAATCCACGTTTCCAAGTCCTTGCCAAGTCGATATTCTTTGTTTTAAGGCTCTTTTTGACTCTGACATTCTTTCTCTAGTCTATAAGTCATTTGACATCTTGGGACCTCATTTTCCTCATCTTTTAAAATGAAGAGATTTGACTTAATACTTCAGGTCCTTTCTAATTCTAAATCCTCTAACTGAAATATGGATCAGTGCCTATATACTAGATTTCTTCATTCCTCTCTCTAGTTCAAGGATTTGGAAGTACTTTATTTGTTGATTCATAATGAGGTAAGCTCCCTGAAGACAAGGACTAATCTAAACTTTGTATATTTCTCTGTGCTACAGGAGCTTTGCAAGTACAAAAGTTTTAAGTTGTTGAAGTATACCTATCTTTTCAGCCTATCTTTGTAAGCATTCTTTAGTGCCCAGCTCTGGGAAGTCTGTTCTTTGTTTTTTTTTTTTTTTTGCTTGTGCAACTATTTAAAAAAAAATTAATACTTTAACTTCCCTTTTGGAAGTGGGATTTGAACTCTGCTCAGGGTAGCATAGTGGAGGAACTAGTCTTATGTTTTCTGTCTTTTCAAACCATAGAGCTAGAGGAAAGAAACTGCTTGTCTTTCTTTTGTACTCCTGGATTCTTCTTTCATACAGTCACAGATCATATGAGCTAGGAGGGATAAAAGAGACCACTTATTCCAACCCCTTCATTTTACTGATGACGAAACTGAGACCCCAAAAGGCCAAATTACTTGCCCAATGTCACACAGCAAGTTAAATGTGATATAGAAATCTGAACTCTAGTTTCTTGACTCTGTCTAGGGATTATCCCTCTATTACCATATAGCCTTTGAATACCATTCTTCTCTTCTCTCTATCCCTCAGGAAGGCTCTGCTAGACCTGCATGCTGTGCCAGTTACAAATTACTCTTACCTCTCTGTCAGTGGGTAAAGGCTTCTGATAAATTAATTAACAGAAGTTGTTAGTATCTTACAACTGGTTTAATGTATCTTCCCTGGTAGATGACAGAACCATAGTTTCAGGCATCTTTGAATTGGCCCTTGGGAGAAAGACTTTTATTAACTAATTAATTATTTGGGGGGCATAGAGTGGTTTCTGGGCCTCCAAGTGCCCATGCTGTACAGTTGAGATGAGATGTTTCAGACTAGTCAGAAAGCTGTGGATCAAAAAGGCATCCTGAGTATTGCCTATTTTCTTGAGAAGATTCACTTGAAGCTGTCAAGTGGTGTGTGTGTGTGTGTGTGTGTGTGTGTGAACAGAATCAAAACACTCTTTAAAAATGAGGCAGGTAAAGCTATTTTGTAGAAATCTTTCTAGTCTGACAACATGGAATAAAGAACCACACTTTTTATGCTTGTATTAGTGGAATTTCTACCTGATCTTAAACTGACCTGGCTGACCCAATGCCACTTTTGTAAGTATGCTCCCTGAGAGCATCTGATTTAGGAAAAGTGCTGTCCACAAAGAAATCACCAACCCTCACCTGTCTTTGGCACCCTTGTCCATGGCTAACATGTGGTGATTTGTGATGGAGATAAAAATGAAATATGGTACTGTTCTCTTCCCTCCCTCAAGTGTGACAAACTACAGGGAGCGGGAAATTGTGTCCCAGATCCTTATCTGTCTTTGAAGGGGAAATGGATAGCCCTGCCATAGAGATCAGGGGATGGGGAGAGAAAAGAAAGACTTCGAGAAATAATCACTCTATTTCCCCCCATGCCTAAGCAGATGTCTGCTTTAAAAAAAAAGTCAGTTTTGTCTCTACACTTCCTCCTTTTCCTACCCTCCCCAAACCTGAAATCTCACCGAAGTGATTTTCATTGTCTAAATAGTCCTTCATACATATCCTCCAGTTCCTCATCACTCTGTGGAGTTGATCTGGGATTTCAAAGGCTGTGTCTGTGAAGTTCAGATTTTGACTGGTCCCACTCAACTGGAGGGGCTTCAATTTCAAGCAGTGTATTTATTATGCATCTGGTGACTGACAAGCAGTCTACTTAAACTCGGAGAGCCCCCTCCCCCGTGATGAATTTTTTTACCCAAGAGCAACTCATGAAGATCATCTACTAATGTGTGGAAGGACTGTGTTTCATTGGTGGAGGGGTATCCCCACTGATGAAATCATGTATCTTCTTTAATACCTAAATAATATTCTTTTAGGGAGTTTTCGTTTGCCAAAGGAATTGTGAATAGACCATCTCCCTCGTGACAGAATTGAGAACTGGAAGGGATCTTAGAAATCTAAGATCTAGTCCAACACAGATGAGGAAACTGAGGTCCAGAGAGGGATGAGAGAGAGACTTGCCTAGGGTTTTGTACCCAGGAAGTGGAAAAGCTCTGAGTTAAACCTAGGTACTTGGATTCCAAAAACATTGCTACAAAACACCTTCCTTTATTTAATGTGCTGACTTTTCTATCATCTAGTATCCAAAACTAAATTTAAGGTTATTACATGAAGATGAACTTACTTATCTGGACCAGGTAAGCTCTTTTCTCGCCCTCTCCCCCCACGTCTCCACATGGCTTTCTGAACTTTGGATAGAGGTCCATTATTAGGATCTGACAGTTACCAGACTCCAGGACTTTTCTCCAGTAGTGCAGTGGATTTTAAGTCCAGAAAAAGGACCATGAATATAGGTTACAATGAAGACCATGCAACTGGTTTTTTTTTTAATTCATTCCAATGGAATTTGGGGAAATCTCAGATTTGTATTTAAAGATATCAGATATGTTTCCAATTTTTCTAAAAAGTTTTCAAAGTCAACATTTATCATGGATAAAAAGTTTCTGTAATGGGATTAAAAAATGGATAAAATAGAAAAAAAATTACTTATTCCACTTACCATATATATGACTGTATTGTATGAGAATTATAAAATTTAGAGATGGAAAGGATTTTGTTGTTATTGTTGTTCGGTCATTTCAGTTGTCTCCTACTCTTCATGACCCCATTTGGAATTTTCTTGGCAAAGATACTAGAGTGGGTTGTCATTTCTTTCTCCAGGTTATTTTACAGATGACGAAATTGAGGCAAACAGGGTTAAGTGATTTGTCACACAGCTAGTTATAGTATCTGAGGCCAGATTTGAACTCAGTCTTCCTGACTTCAGGCCTGGCACTCTATTGGTTAATCCATTTTACAGATGAGAAAATCATGACTCAAGTCAAGTGACTTACACTAGTTTAGCACAGTGCCTGGCACATAATGGGTGTTTGATAAATGTTTATCCTTTTCCTCCTCTTTCCTTACACCCTTGCCTAGAGTTATGAAAGGAGTTAAGTAGCAGAATCAAGATTTGAATCTAGGCCTTCCCAATTTGGGGCAGCTTGGTGGCACAGTATATAGAGTACTGGCCCTGGAGTCAGGAAGACCTGAGTTCAAATGTGGCTTCAGATACTTACTAGCAGTATGACCCTAGGCAAGTCACTTAACTGCCTCAGTTTCCTCTTCTGTAAAATGAGCTGGAGCAGGAAATGGCAAACCACTCCAGTATCTTTGTCAAGAAAATGCCAAATGGAGTCATGAAGAGTTGTGCACAACTAATTGACTAAACAACAACTTCTTCAAAATTCAGATCTCTTTCTAATACATTGTGCTTCCCTATCTTCCTAATATTTCAATCACCTGAATTATAATAGAGGTTGTTACATATAGGCATCAGCCCGGGGTAGGGAACTTTTGACCTCTAGGCCACATGTGGCCCTCCAAGTCCTCAAGTGTGGCAAAGGGTTGAACTTGAGCACTTAGAGGGCCACAGGTTCCCCACCCCCGCACCAGACCTTTTCTCCTTTTTTTTATAGTAAATACATTGGTATTGGATCCCCTGCCAAGATTCATATTTATCAACCTGATTTTAGGTCCTTTCATTTATGTACTGGGGCCCCCTCCTCCTCACCACAATGTAGTAATGATTTCCTTTTCTGGGCTCACTGCTTCTGATCAACTTTTGTGTAAAATCACCTGAAATCATGGCTTGATTTTATAAGATATTTTACTTATTTAATAAGCAGGGTAATGTACTTTCTCGGTGGTGAAATGGTAAATTTATTTGATTCTTTTAAGTAAAAATTTGTCTACTTTACTCCCTCTCATATATACATTACCTATT